CCCCCCCCCCCAACACACACACACACTTTAGTGCATCAAAGTGATCTTTAGACGGAGCAGCTCACATTTGTTTTGAAGTAAATTAAAACTAATTCTCATGATGAAAACACTTAAAAATAGGAAACCTAATGAACTACAAATGATAAAGCTAAGTTGCTCGGCTACTAGCAACTGCAAAACAAAACTACAAATTATGGTTTTAGTCTTCAAAGCATTGGAGTAATTCTGTTTGCACTTAATTCTGGGTTTTTTAATATTATTAAGTATATAGCAACCAAACTATATCATAATATGTTATAAAATCTGTAATAACATATTGACTACATCGACCCCACCCATAGTGTTTAAATATAGCAAATCGATTTTACACCCTTTTGCACAAGTCAATGGAATCATTTAAGCAGTAATTTTCCACTTAAAAGACAGGATCACTTAGTGCAGATCTGGGCATGGGAAATGGAAGAATCAGGAAAAAACAAAGTAACTCCTGAATATGCATAAGCAGGAGGAGGTCAGAATTAGGGACCATCTTTTACGGCTCCGTGGCCGGAAGGGACTCCAGAGTGCCTGCCTGTCCCCATTAAAATGTGATCATAAAGACCCTAATGTCCTTTCCTTGCCGGGCCAGTGAAAAGCTTGCGTCCAAGAAATGGGGCTGAAAGCAGCAGCGCAAAGGATACGGGGGATGGCGAAGAGCTGAGCAAACACATGAAACGAGGAGCCCCACGCCATCTGCCAAGGAGCCACGTATGTCATGACGAACTGTAACTTCTGCAGCAGGTCCCCAAGCTGAAAGCAGAAGGAGAGAAAGACGGATCAGAGGTGACAAGCACAGTGCCAGTGGCGTCCTGGGAAGGTCGTCCGAAGCACACGGGTGTTACGGTGAGGAAAGTGGGGGGCTCCTGCCGGCCCCTGACTTGTACGTCCCTTTGTCCTATCCCCAGGCAGCTGCTTCAGGATGTTTTAAAACAGCCGCAAGGTGATCAGAACAAACCTGTGGTTTCATCCCACAGAATCGGTTATTTCAGCCAACGCACGGACAAGGCGCATGTCTGCGTTTCTTACAGAAACACCCCCGGCCCGGCCTCCCGCCTTCAAGTGGGTCATTTAGAGGGAGATTCACGCACACGTCTCATCACTGACGCTGTTCGGGTTTCCGTGTATTAGGTTCACCTTGGCTCTCCAGCTGCTCTTTTGGGAAAACGGCTCCATAGCACTGACTTACACGTCACAAGTACTTTAGACACCAAGACAGGATGTGGCGATTGTCGCCTTCGCCAGACAAGCCAGCACGGGAAAAACTGAGCTCTGGGGAGAAGCAGGGGGTGGAGAGAAGAGACCTTTGTGGACTAAGAGTGAACAGCAGGGGCACGGCGCCCCGGGGCTTTCGCTGGAGACGCAGATGTGAATGTGGGAAGGACGCAGAACAGGTGCCCTGGCGGAGGCCTCTGCCCCGTGGCGAGATCTAAGGGACGAGTCCCGGGTGCCGAAGTCCCCAGCTGCCACTTCCACGTGGAGTCAGCAGGTAGCCTTCCAGATGGCCCCCCAAACTCCACACACTCCCCATCCATTCGGAAAGGTCTGGACTGGAAGTCCCTACACTGGCAGCACGCGAGACAATAAATGTGGGCACCAAGGCCAGGGCGTGAGTGGGAAAACAACTCAGGATTCTTCCCCGGGCCAGCAGGTGATCCACGGGTCGTCAGAAGACCACGCGGGAAGAGGCGAAGGTGGGGGAGCAGCACCACCAGGGAGCTTTAAGGATCCGATAACAGCCCTCCCGGGAAAGGCCAGCCTTGTGGCTCGGGGACCGAGAGATGAGGTCCTCTGAATGGTTCCACGCACGTGTAATGAGGCAACATGGGGTTAGCTAGACTCCTCCCCAGATCTCTCTCTCACTTTCTTCCCATCACAGGCTCACTAATATCCTGTCCTTTAGAGAAAAACCGTAAAGTAGAATTAAACATCGTTGGGCCGGCCACACAAGCAGAGCCACAGATGAAAGGTCCCTCGCAGGCACAGCCACGTGGAATTCTTAGAAGGCGCAGGCATCTGGGTGTGTAAAGGGCCCAGGGGCCCACACGTGTCCACCAGGGACTCTAGTCACACACAGACCTAGCGCTGAGGAATGAGAGGTGGAGAGAAGGGAGAAGGAGAGGGAGGGAAGGAAGGAAGGGGAGAGG